GCGGGGGCGGGGGCGGGGGCGGGGGCGGGGGCGGGGGCGGGGGCGGGAGCGGGCGGGGGCGTTTGCAATACAGAAGTGGCGGGAGAGTCGGAGAGAAAGATGAAACTATGAGAGCTATTTAAAGGCCAACCTCACGAGGTTTGCAAATGAAACAGACTCTGAAGGCAGAGGGAGACGAAGAAAGGGCAACTTCTAGGTTTCAGGCTTGGGCAACGGGGGCGTGGTGCCATTAACTTTGGAAACACAGGAGAGGGGAGGGAGGGCTGTGGGATCCAACCAAGTTGAGAGGCCTTTCGTATTCAGTTGAATATGGCATCTGGGGCTCAGCAGTTAGAAATCAGTTCTCTCCCTCCCCAGCACCTCTTCCCAGGGGACAGGGACAGCACCCTGACTTCTATTGTGGGTGCACCTGTTTTCTATTATGAAATCCTAATGTTTTCGGTGGGATTGAGCCTTCTCCCAGCTTCCCAGATAGGTTTATACTGGCCGAATCCAGTTGGTACATGCCATATCTCTGGCCACAACGATGGATGTGATAACTCTAGTTAGAAATACAGAGTTATAGGGGCACCTGCGTGGCTCAGTCGGTTGAGTGTCCGACTTCAGCTCAGGACCTCATGGTTTGTGAATTTGAGCCCTCATTGGGCTCACTATTGTTAGCACGGAGCCCACTTCAGATCCTCTGTCCCCCCCCCTCTGCTCCTCCCCTGCTCACGCTTTCTCAAAAATAAATAAAACATAAAAAAAAAAAGAAATACAGGGCTATAGTGTATGCAAATGGTATAATTACATAGATTAAAGGTTGTTGTGTAACACGTACACAATACTATGATATCTGATGCTTACTGGGTGAAGCCGCAAGTCCCTGGCACTTTGAGGTATTCCCTTTGCCACCACCCTGGAATTATGAGCACTCCTGGAAAAGATGCCAACGTGCTGGCCCATGCTAATTACCATCCACAAAATAGCCATTTCGCAGTAGAGGGAACTGGGGTCCAGAGAGGTGAAGTGTAGTAGTTAGGATCATTGTTCTTGCAAGTGACCAAAACTTCAGTTTAAACTGTTTTAAACAAACAAAAAGAATTAATTGACTCAGATCTAGGGGTGGCTTTTGGCTTCAGGTACAGTTTGATCCAGAGGCTCAGAAAATGTTGTTGAAACACAGTGTCTCTACTTTGCTATTTGTTCTGCTTTTCCTCATACGTTTGTTGATTTCAATCTCAGACTGGCCTGGTTTCGTGTCGGGGAGATGGCTGCCACAACTCTAAGCCTCACATGCTTATGTCTTCAAATCTAGTGAACAGATAATGAACGTTTCTCCCCCAGAAGCCCTATTACAGGCCTGAAGCCTTCCTGTTGGCTCTAACTGGTCCTGTTCTTGGCCCTGATCCATCACTGTGGCCAGAGATATGGGATGTACCAATTGGATTAGGCCAGTACAGACATACTCCTGGAGCTGGGAGAAGGGTCAATCCCACTGAAATATTAGGATTTCATAATAGAAAAGAGGTGCATCCACAATAGAAAATCAAGGTGCTGTCACCTGAGAAGAGATGCTGGGGAGGGGAAAAACTGATAACCACAGGAAGAAGGCACCTGTTTGAGGTCACCCAGCTTTTAGGATCAAAGCTAGATCTCAGGTGTTAACCCCACCTCGCTTTCTTCCAAACCTTATTGTCAGTTGCGTACTTTGCTTCCATCGATGTTCCCAGAGACTTAAGGGGATCAGAGGCCAGCAAGGGGTTAGTCAGAAAAACAGTGGCGATTAAAACATTAGAATGGGTGATGGGCATTGAGGAGGACACTTGTTGGGATGAGTACTGGGTGTTGTATGTAAGCGACGAATCACGGGAATCTACCCCTGAAACCAAGAGCACGCTGTATACACTGTATTTTTAACTACCTTGGCAGTAAAGTATATTAAAAAAAAATAAATAAATAAAATAAAATAAAATAAAATAAAACAAAACAAAACAGAGAGGTCACAAGTCCTCCATGATCTTCCTCTGACAGAGCATCACAAATTGGCCAACGTTGGACAATGGAGTAACAGGAGCAAAGCATCACTCCAGGTGGGCAGGCAGGAAACAGCTGGCTGGGAAAGGCGCCCATGACCCCTTGCCCCAGTCCACCCTTGGCCTGGAAGAAGTCAGACCGGAAGTGGCCAGGGAACTTGCAAGACCTGCAAAGAGCCGGTAAGGACCAGCCCCTTGGTTTCTAAAATTGGCCCCAGTTTATTATTCACTGCTGAGTTATTCCATGCAACTCTGTCACTCTTTTCTCTCTCCCTTCTCCGTCACACAAAGTTTTGCTGGTTGGGGTATTTTTAGCTCAGTATGGGCCTTTGGGGATCATCAAAATCCAACCCACTTGTTTTGCAGAAGAAAGAAATGAGCCCGATTGGAAATGAGTTATTAAGGCTACACGTTTCTTATTGGAGCTGATCCCCGACCTGGGTCTCCAGGCTTCTAGCCGGGGGATCCCACTGTACCAGGTAGTCTCCATCCTTCCCTTCCTGGTCCTGGCAAGGTGCCTGACTGTGCTCTGCCTTTTTAAAGAGTCACATGTTCACCCAAGACTGATGGGAACAGGTAGCTCTTACTTTAGAACATTTGCAGGCCAGTCTTTGAGAACTCAAGAACAGTCCCCCTAGAAAGGTGGTTTTGTGTTATATAGGTTCTCAGTCTGACCCGTAAAACCCACTGGACATTAGGAGCGTGAAATGATTCATTCCTGTGTCTACTTTTGAGGGGTGGACACTGAACTTCACCTTGACACTTTTTTACAGGAAGGCTTTAGAGACCTCTACTGGATGCTTGTTTGCTTGCAGTCAGCCTGGGGCCCCCTCAGTGTCTTTGCTCTTGAATGACAGGTCACCAGGAGCTCACATTCACAGGACCCCGTGCGTACTTTGATGCTCTGCTGTGGCCAGCTTGAAGTTCTTCATAATTTTATCTTTTTCTTACATTTATCTGTTTATTATTCAAGAGAAGGTGGAGAGAGAGAGAGAGAGAGAGAGAGAGAGACACGGGCAGAGAGAGAGAGGGAGAATCTCAAGCAGGCTCCATGCTGTCAGTGCAGAACCCAACTCAGGGTTCAAACTCACAAACTGCTAGATGATGACCTGAGCCAAAATCAAGAGTCAGATGCCTAACTGACCGAGACATCCAAGTGCCCCAATCATTTATCTTCAAACTTTTGTAGGTAAAGCCAACTAGACAAGGCACATACATGTGAGCAGGGAGATACATGTAACTCGGACGTCCGCTGCTGTTCCTTTTGGCCTCCTTTACATGAAGCATTAACGATGCCCCCTGAGGACAGGACTCAGCTGCACCCACGACAAATGCAAGTTAGGTGAGACTCGAAATGAGTACAAGGCAAGTGTGTGACCTCAACCCCCGAGAAGCTGTGCCCGTGTTCCAATCAGAACTCGCTTTGAATACACAAAGGGGACAATCACATTCTTGACCAAGGATCCCCGGCATATTCTTTCTTAGTCATATTGCTTCTGTGTAATAGCCAACACTTCGGCTGAAAATTATGACACAGAAGCAGAGGGAAAGGTGAGGCAGCCCACAGTTCCTTTCCTTGCAGCCCTTCCTCACTTGTCCAGTAAGGTGAAGGTAGAGCGTTGCTAGAATGGGCACATATCAACATGTGAAATAAAAACAGCCGCGCTAGTTTTTTGCAGCATTTTCGCTGCTCTGGTAATAAGGAAATACATGTCCCTGTGTGAGCTACAGGATACAAATCAAGTAATTTCAGTGATTCTTCATCGAGTCACATGCTCTCACGTTTGCCCTTAAGAGCAACATTGCACAATATAAAGACAACGGGAAAATTCATGCTAATATTACATTAAAATTTTTCTGAGATCGACATCAAAGAGCGGCTGTAAAACATCATGACAAGAGGAGAGGAAGGCCGTGGAAGAAAGAGAAAGCTTTATGTTTTAGTGTCTTTACTGGCACTGTTTTCATCTCTTTGGACAGGGGGCCCCACATTTTCATTTGGCCTGGGGCCCACGATTTGTGAAGTCGTCCCTGCCTTTCTGACCTCAGAATTCAGCTTCTTAAATTCTGTTGCTTCAGCTACATAGCTTGAACACACTTGTCGTCTTGATCTCTCATTAGTGCCTAACCATTTTTCTTCCGCATATTAAGCTGTTGTTTGCATTTACTACTTTCTAAAACTTTTTTTAACAACATTTATTCATTTTTGAGAGACAGAGGGAGACAGAGAGTAAGCAGAGGAGGGACAGAGAGAGACAGACAGACACAGAATCCGAAGCCGGCTCCAGGCTCCGAGCTGTCAGCACAGAGCCTGACGCGGGGCTCGAACCCACAAACCATGAGATCATGACCTGAGCCGAAGTCGGGCGCTTAACCGACTGAGCCACCCAGGCGTCCCTCATTTACTGCTTTCTAATTCATAAAGAGCTGTATTCGTTTTCTAAGGCTTTCATAACCAGACACCACAGGCCGGGTGAATAGAACAGCAGAAATGTATTTTCTTCCAGTTTTGGAGGCTGGAAGACAAAGATGGAGGGGTTGGCCATTTGGGTTTCTTCTGAGGCCTCTCTCCTTGGCTTGTGAATGGTCACCTTTTGCAAGATGACCTTACGCAGTCTTTCCCGTGTGAGCGCATTCCTGGTGCCGCCGTGTGTCCAAAGTTCCCCTTCGTATAAGGACACTAGTCAGATTGGATCAGATCCCATCCCAATGGCCTCATTTTACTTAATCATTTATGTGATTCAACAGATGGATGTGGGGGGGGACACAGGTCGGCGCATCCTTTTTCGTTTTCTAATAAATAACCTCGAAGGAGCAGTCAGTACACATATTTTGCCAATCCGTTCATTCATTCATTTGACAAATACTTACTGGGTAGTCTCTCGCCAAGCACTGGCTGGCTGACTGCCAGACGTGTGACCTTCAAGAAGACAGGGAGGTACATACCTGCTCTTGTGGCAATTATGGAGGGAATAAAGAAATTAAGGAGGGAAGAAAGAAATTCTCAGTCAATAGGTTCAGTCTTCTCAGCGAAGCTGGGCTGGAGATGGAATATTTTTAAAGTAATTTTTCAGTGTGATCGATGAGGTTTTGGAATGGTGGGGGTTCGGAGCCCACGGCCAACAAAGAATTCCTAAAGACATGTTTGGTGCAAAAAGGTGATTTTATTAAAGCTCGGGGACAGAACCCGTGGGCAGAAAGAGCTTCCCTGGGGTTGTGAGGAGTGACTGGTTATTTACTAAGGAGTTGCGGGGGGGAGTGCGGCAGGGGTAAAGGCAAACCCGAGGCCTCCAGAAGGACTTTGATGTGCTAAAAAGAATGCCTATGATACCTGAGGCCTCGCTGTTGTCAAGCTAAGGTTGTTTTTCCTCTAGTAAGGCATTAGCATTAGGACGATAGGGGTTCCTGCAGAAATGTTCTACTCTGTATTTGCCACAAGTACTTATCAATGGGGTGCAGGTTATAAGGAAATTTAATTTTACCTGCCATTTCCTTCTTGGCCTTTGTTCCATATCACTATGGAGGGGAAGGTGATGTTGGGGCTCCAGGAAACTGTAGGTTTCTGGAGATTAGGCTATTGATAGGATTGCCTTTTTTTTTGTAATTTACTAAGATATTTGTAAACTGATGGAGACTCGTGTCCTGCAGGACTGTGATCTCTCTCAGTGAACCATTTGTTTTCTTCCCTTTCCTTTGTTCTTGGGCAACCAGGAGTGCCTGAGGAATATCACACGTATCCCGCCTGGGGGTGGGGGTGGGGGGGGGTGCTAGCTTGTACTTTGCCCTCAGCCTGCCTTATGGTCCCTCATCATAATTATTCATTTTACTGTTTTTTTTTTTTTAAACATTATACATGCTCATTACAGAACAATCAGGAACTACACAAACATAAAAAAGCAAAAAATTACTCCAGATCTTACCACTCAGAAGTAACAAGTATTAACATTCAACGAACATTATTTTAGACATGGGCATGTATATGCATAAATAGGTTAGATGAAAAATGTCCTCAATAAAGATCCCATTACAGTTAAAAAATTTTATTAAAGCAATTTAAAAAGCATACTCATTTTTTAATCCATATATAACATCTTAGAGATAACATACATATTTATATAATTTAAATATATATATCATATATATATCATATATCATATAAATATATATCATATATGTATGATAACATACATATTTATATAATTTAAGTATGTGGACATTGTCTCAGTGTTATGTAACAGGCCAACAACTATTTTCTGTGAAGGGTCAGATAGTAAACACTTTAGCACTTTTGAGCCCAGAGATCTTGGTCCCAACTATTCCGCTTTAGCATTGCAGCAAAAAAGCAGCCAGAGAGGATAGGTGAATGAACGGAGTGTGGCTGTGTTCCAATAAATCTTTATTTATAAAAGTTGGGCTGGAGTTGGTCTGAGATTGTATTTTGCTAACCCCCCACTACAAAAAAATAAGAGAATTACTATACTGATTCTTCCTTCTATACCTCACTTCTCCAGATTTTGCTTATTTTTTTTTTACTTTGTTAGGGCTTCTGGTAGCATATATCCTTTTATTCTGCCTTCATTCCCACATATGATTAGCCATAGCTGTGAAATTATATAAACCTGGTGTTTATTATCCTAGTCAGTTTGGGCTGTTGTAACAAAAATATCTTAAACCGGGTGGCTTATAAACAACAGATATTTATTTCTCACAGTTCTGGAGGCTGGGAAGTCCAAGATCATAGCTTTGGAAAATTTGGTGGCTAGTGAGAACCCACTACTTAGACAACCATCTTTTTGATATGTCCTCACATGGCAGAAGGGGCCTCTTATAAGGGACTCATCACCTCCCAAAGGCCCCACCTGTTCATACCATCACATTGGGATTTAGGATTTTAACACATGGAATTTGGGAGAGGACACAAACATTCAGATCGTAGCAGTATTTCATACTAGTTCTTTTTTTTTGTAGTTTTTTCATTCATTAGATCTTTATATTATTCACCTCACTTTCAACTGGGATTATCTGTCAAATAGTTTAGTTTGTTTTTGTTTTTGTTTTAAAATGAGTTCATGAGAGGCCCCCAGGTGGCTCAGTTAAATGTTGGACTCTAGATTTGGGCTTAGGTCATGATCTCATGGTTTGTGAGTTTGAGACCCGCATCGGGCTCCTCACTGGCAGTG